ATGCAATTGTATGATACATTATTCTGCGACACGTCAGCACTAGAGCCATTAAAATGTGCCGTGAAATTGCATTTGACGTTTCATTGCCGTTCTTGCCCGTGCCGTAGCCCTGCTCTCGGCGATACTGCGCACCTGTATCTTGAAGGCATTGATCCCTATGCCGCACGTGGCTGCACGGCAGCTCCATGCGGCTTCCTGCATACGCCAGACTTCAAGGGGAGCTCTTACCTGCTTTTGACCAGCGCGCCCGGCCGCTGATGAAACCTTTATTGCATCCGCTGCCTTCCTCGCGACACTGCGCTGCTGTTGATCAGAACCGAGCTCCAGCGCGCGCTCTGATTTCAGCACAGCCCCCTTTGTCATCTCAATCCAACCACTGGGACCCACGATGCTATCATCCCCAACACCGTTCCGCGCAACTCGGCTTTTTGGACTCCAGACGCTCGTCCAGCTGTTCGAATGACACCACATGACCTAGTGAAGCATCAGTGGACGGCTGAGAGGTCGCCAGCAGTCTGATGGGGTCCAGTGGCCAGATACCACAACAGACAAAGAAACTGCGAATGTTAGAAACGGTAAACGCCTTCTTGTAAGCGTGCGACAGCATGTTACATAGAGTGAAAGTGTCCCACTCTTCCTGCTCCTCCTTCGAAAGTAGAAAGTACATCAGTTCACATAGTAGACATTTAAAAGGAGAACACACGCCGACGTCTAAAGGTTGCGTCTTACCAGACGCGTGCGCTGGAAGGGCATACACAATTACGTCATTCACGTGAGATAAAGGGAGGACGGCTAAGGTTATGTGTGACCGATAGCCGTCGTGGATCAGCGACAACTTGCGCCCGTTTGCAGTTAGATGCGTCACATTCCGCAAAAATATTTGAGCCCAACTGTAAATGTTATCCTTGTCGACGTTCGCTCTCCCGGCACGCATACTGATAAGAGCTCCACTTGGCAGATGGTTCGCGAATGTTGTGGGATAACTCCTTTCCGCCCTGGGTTGGGTGAGAGGCGGGGCTTTAGCGAGGGAGCACGCGGCGCGGACGCGACGCGCTAATTGAACCGATCAGACGAGCTCGCGAAAAGGGACTGGCTCACTTGCCGGTTACGTGCAGTCGCCCCGTGGTGCGCGAACGGGAGCACCCAGTAACGGGTTAGAAGCCAGCGCGCGATAGACAACCGAAACGGACGTATATAGGCGTGAAAGGGACGGTGGCGAGCTTGCCCCCTGTTTACTGGGGAGGACGGCCGTCGGGTCTTAACCCCACAGAAGGACGCCCAGGACACTTGTCCAATACAGTACCTGCCACCTACTGTGTACCAGGTACTGTACGCGATTAAATTTCTAGCGCCGTATTTACAGCTATCGGATGGCGCCTCACACTACACGTGTGCCTGACAGTACACGCGTACAGCGATACGACCGGTCAGAGCGCGCGCTCGCAATACGGGGACACCTTCCCCCGTGTACACCGTCACGGCCGTCTGTACTGTAGACCACCGTGCGGGCCCGTCGTTGTATCAGAAATGTGTCCACAGTCACGTTTCCATTACGCTGCCCTGTTTTGAATGCCATTCTAGAGCCCTTGAACAAAAACAAGGGTGGTACAGTTTCAACAACAGCACTTATGCAGGGACGTATTGTGCAGAGAAGCACACTTACACGATGTGTGTTACCAAATGCAGCAACGCGGGAATCACCACTACTCCCACGAAGCACAAAACATTTGCGTTATGTAATGGCTTGTGCTTCTCTGCTTGGAGTTGTTCCAGCCTCATCTAAATTTCAGATTGGTTACGCATCAAGAATGTTCTTTTTGATAATCTTCTCAAGAGTTTCGAAATAGTTAGTCAGATTTACAGCATTTCAAGCTTCAAAGAGTGCAGTTTTCTGGGGCAGAGGACGTCCAAACTTTAAAACAGATTTATGGAAGCGTTGGAAATTTGCAATCCACTTGAAACCTGGCTTGCCGTCTTGAAAATGGCGCTTTAGAATGGGACTAAGTGGTAAGAGAAGCGTGGATAGCATTTTATGAATGGCCTCTACAACGTGATCATTGTTCATCGGTGTCCGTCGTTCCGAGTTACGCACAAGTAGAGATACCACGCCAGTTCTTCTGTGTTTGAAAGGCTGTCCGCCTAATGCGAATAGTAGCCGTGTTGGAGGGCTGTTTCAGGTTTCCAGAGCACGCTGCCCTGAAAAATGCATGCAGAAATGATACAGGAACACGAAAGGCAGGGCTGGCTTCGCGGTACGTCATTCCGCCTGCCACAGCTCACGAAACTTGCCTCAACAAGAGGGCATAGAGCTTCCGCGATTGCGCTTGTGGCATGGCGAGTCTAGTTGTCGCCAGACTGACAACATTGAGTAGTGGGCATATGCAGTATAAAGGGGTCAATTCCGGCTTGGAAAAAGATCACGATCTGCTACGTGATTTCGGCATTGGCGGGAGTGGGCAGTGTGTTTTGCTGTTTGCATTCTCCCGCCAGAGCTATTGTAGTGTTAGAGTTAGTGAAGGTTACGGAAAGGGAAGAACGGCACATTTGCAAGTGGATGGCGCCAGTTGGGGCAAAAACAACCACAGACAGGTTTCAAACTGTCCGCTGACATTGAAAAGTTGTGGGTTGTTGCGTATGGATGACGTTCAGGCTGGCAGATTTTGTTTTGTTTTTGACCGTATATTTAGCTGGAAAATGTCCTTTACTGTAGTCGCAGGGGAGCGGGTCCCCCACTGTAGATGGCCGAAGGTGGGTTGTTTTTTCTAATAATTTGCATGTTCAGATCTGGAGGTACATGTTCAAGAATGGGGTGCACCCCCCTTTACAGTCAGTATTGGGCGAGTCGCTGATCTCAAAAAATGATCCCTAAATGTCTTCGTCATTCAATCCAACAATGCCTGGGCCGGACAACCAATCCTCGCACGGATGTACCAGCAATGCGACTCGTTTACAAATCTCTGACGAAACGTATCTTGACAAGCGTTGAAACGAGCTCTTTCGTTTCACTAGTCAACAATACTTTCCAAAACCTTTTCCTCTCTGTCCATACTTGCGAAACGACACTGTGTCTCCCTTCATCCGTTTCGAACTACAGTGCCTCCTACGATATAGTGCTATAGCGTGACATACCTCTAGCTATGGCACTATTGGGGGGATGGCACTATATAAAGGAGGCTCATATACATATATTTGGGGACAAAGCACACTGCTATCACAAACGCAACTAAATAACTTCATCCTTTGAGTACTGAACCATGCCGGATAATACACGTGTGAGCTTATGATAACCTGTGCCAGAGGGTGAGCCATAGCACTATATAGAGGGAAGCACTACTAAAGTAGGCACTATTGAGCGACCCCCCCTGTATTATGTGCAATTGACGACGCCATGTTAAGTACCGAAATCACGCTGCAGATAGAAAGAAGTCTCATGAGTCTGAAAAAGTGCCCATGTACAAATTACGATGTTGGTGCAGCATATTGTTGGGCACCGTCATTTGAGGACAACCGCACATTCCGGAGACTCTGTAGTGCAGTTTTCCTCTTCTGCAGAGCCTCAATCGCTTGGGGCTGCCACATGTTCACGCTTGCAGCTCTATACGCACGACTATTTTGAGATTGTGACCAACATGACAAGGTGAGATTTCCGAAACTATCCCTCTCCTCGTACCTGCAATTTGGCAAAATGAATGCAGATTTCTTTATCTGCGTTTTCTGTAGCCAAACCTGTGTACATGAACATGTTGTACTGGACATTTGCTGGAGTGCCATCAAACGACAATATTTGTCATTGGTTTGCAGTGTGAAACCAATGTTATTCTAATGTTATATGTCGTGCCTTCTGGAACCACTACGTATTGATCCAAGCTTATTCACCTAGTTCAACAAGGTTTCCAGGCATTTGGTTCTTTCGACGTAAATCTGGTACTGCCGAGTATATTTCAAAGGCAAAGCATCTCTCCTTCCATTACCCTGTAGCACTGCAGCTGGCCTCAGTTGGATTTTTTTGAGATGTAATGCGCTTGCTGTCCTGTACTGGTGTGTGCCGGATTCTGTTTTTTGATACCGGAGGCAAAGAAAAAGATTCCATAGCATGAAGCTCCCTTTCGATAGGTCAGCATCGCTTTTTCGGGAAATGGCTATAAATTTTCCAAAGCTTGCTACTACCATAGCTTTTGCAGAGGAAAGTTTCTCGAGTATAGCTTTCTCGGTTTCTCCCAATTCCACTTTATGCTACAGACCCTGTGGGTCATACTGTAGTGCTGTGAAAATAGATTGTATTGTAGTTCAAAGCGGAGAAGTGCAGCGGAGTGTGCTAAAAATAAACCTAAATGGCGCAGTTCCCACACCACTAGCAAGTGAAATCGTTGGAATACAATGTTTAAGGTCCATGTGCACATGGTTTTCTACACAAAATATTACCTCGTTGAGGAACAGAGCGGGTGACTCCCTTTCCGTCTGGGCATCCTCTATGAAATGTTATCTTCATGCTTGTTTGTTTGAGAGTTATTTCGGCACGGCCTTAAGGACATTGATAATTGTAAGCTGCTCTCTTTTCAAAGGCTCCAGATCCCTTGAGTATAAAAGTTGGGGTAGTGATGGTAAAAGTGCTGGGCTTTTCGATTTGCAACCCCCTCCCCCTGACAACATTGGAAGCTCGATTCGTAGCAAATCAACGCGAAATGGTTTATTCTAGTGCACTTGTTCCTCTCTTCGTTGCACTTTTTCTAGTCGGTAGTTCCCATGCCCTGGACACTTCCGGTTCTGAGAAGATCGCGAGGCCTCTACCATGTCTCGCACTTACACCACATGAAAAATTCGTCTACAGAGCGGCATGTGATCCTTGTATCTATCTCCACAAGCTGGACGTCCCGGCACATGTGAGATCTATCATCCCCTGTTATGGTCATCTCCCGGAATGCTCGTCGTGCTATTCTCCTCATCAGTGTCTCACTAACAAATGCTGGGGCGGCAAGTGTGTCTATGACACGCCTGCTTCTATGGACAAGTGCTTCCCGAAGAAGAAGGGAGAGTGTGCACCGTGCAGGAGTAGGGACGAATGCTCAACGGACAAGTGCTGGGGACATGTTGGTAGCGATCTGAGATGCGTCTACGATAACCCCACTTCTATGGCGAAGTGCTTCCCGAAGAAGCTCGAATGTGCCGGTTGCTCCGTCGCAGCGCAATGCAGTACGCACAAGTGCTGGGGAGGAAAATGTGTTTACGACACCCCAGCATCAATGGCTAAGTGCTTCCCGGTCACGATCTCACCTCCCACGCATCCCCCCTATCCGTGCCGTTTCAAGACTACGGACCACCTTTCGATCGGGGATCCGGTTCCTATTTGCCCGTAGTAATACTTCCCTGAACGCAGGCTCAGCGGGGAGCGATTGTTTCACGGCACTCTTGCCCGCAATTTAGTAGATTGCCAAATAAATGACGATGTCTCGGTGGTTGCGAATTGATTCAAGTTTCTCCCTACGGCATGCCGTGTCTTCATGGTAAACGGGCTGGCCTCTCTCGCAGGATAAAGATGGAAAGTACAAGTTTTGAGTTTCGCGGAGAGAAGCGTTGGTTGTACTGCACAGCACTCTTCTTCGAGATGGAGGAATGTGAATAGTGTATAAAAGAGGGGCGCTTTGATATAGATGGAGTACAAATGTTGAGGCAGTACGTTTGCGTTTGGGAAGCGAGTGAAAGGAGCATCGTTTTACAAGCGTGATCGCAGTGAGCCTTTCAAGTGTACGTACGGTATCTCCGACTTGCAAAAGCAAGGCCGCCGTCATGCCGCGAGGGGGTAGATTACCCATCTGTGGAATTCTGTTTGATGTACCCTTAACGGTACAGTACATCGCCAGGCATCATGTACAAGTACCCTGGAAAGATCCTGCACAGTAAAGATTACAGTACGTGTGGGTTTGAATTGAAGAAAAAAAATATATTCTGCGATGAATCATGAAAGCAGAGATCCGTGGAGGAAGATGGGGCTAGGTAGATGGGGCTAGGTAGATGGGGCTAGGTAGATGGGGCGAGGTAGATGGGGCGAGGTATAGATGGGGCGAGGTACTGTAGATGTTCCACAAAACGAGACATGACTCTGAGGGCCGTTCAGTTCCCCTCACTGAGATTGGTTTCGATATCATCAAATGCGTTGTATTTTGGGGGGATGGCCAAGTGCACGAGTAGACGTAAAATTCAACAAGTCAAGAGGAAAAGTTACCCTGGCACCCTTGCGATCATACTGTATGGCCGGCCATTGGGCTGGCATCAAGTTGGCAAGGTGGGGGATATAAAGCTTTAACTGATAGGCGCGAAGGGGTGGGCGGCCTTGTCCCGTAAAATCTAAAAAGGTGTGCTGAAGCAAACATGTCGTGTCGCGCTCTCCTCATCTGGCGGACAGGCCAATCTATTTCGCTTGTTTTGACGGGGCTCGGGGTTGGCGCACAACGTTTATCATACCAAGGGTACCCTGCATCCTGTGTGTAGATTATGGATAGGAGGAACCGGTGTGCATGGAGATTGCGACAACAATGATCAGAGGCTGTGCGTAACAGTGCTGTCGGGTCGCTACCCGTAGCTGTACCCTTGGTACCGTAACGGCCCACACACTCGCTCTGCTACACTGTAGTGTGGCTTTATGTACCGCGAAGTGTAGCCCATTAAGGTGGAGCGGTGGAGAACGCCGACGTAGCTCAAGATTAAAGTTCGTTTTACGGTACCCTTGGGTACGGGCAAGTACGCGTGGTAAGACGCTTTCTAAAATGCGAAAAAGGCGTCTTGTCCTTACCTTTTTCCCACGTTCTTCACAGCGTTTCAGAGATAAAAGCTGCCGACTGCCGATACGACTAGTGTCTATCCGACCGGGACTTGTTCTCATATGAAGACAGTTTCTTTGCAAAAATGTATAAATTAAACTGAACATTTAAATCTATCTTGGACACTATTTCCTTAACGCTTTTGTTTTCGGCAATGACATCTCACAGAACACCGGGATAGCAGCTTTGAATACGCAGAAAGATTAACAACTTAATGCAGATTGAGTACCTAGTTCCCTTTTTTCGTTTTTGGTTTCCAAGTTATTTAACATGCGGTTTTAAGGTGGTTTAAAAAAGCTTCTTTTCCACACATATCTAAAAACGACCACGAAGAACGTGCAATTATCACAAACTTCTTTCTGTTCCCAAGTCAGAATTCAAATAAGGTGGCGGAGTATCTATTTTTCTTTTTTGTCGAGGAAGCACAAGTCAAGAATAAAATGGGTCGAATTGTGTCCTCATATGAGGTCATTTATCACCTAGACACTAGACCTTCTCGTACTATTTACAAGTGCTTTCTTCTCTTTCCGGGGATACAGGCATGCTTCAGGAACATTTCAACTGGACGCCAAGGCCTGCATCTTCGCAAAAATATTCAAAATCGACGTGCATGATAGAAACGGTCGCTCACCAATCTCGACACCGTCGTCCTCAGGTTGCTTCGCAATATCTATGCAGTCGTTCCTCTGCTTTCTCTCCTCTTCAAACGCCTCCATGGGTACAAATCGTTTAGCCTGCGCAGACGACGTCGTATAGTATCCCTTTTCACGGATGCATATGCGGGAGACAAATGTAGTGCAGGACCGTATCACGTATCCACATGAGATATTGGCGACGCCTGAAATAGGATGCTTGTGCCGAGGTGGTCTTACTTGGATGAGACTTAATGCGCGGAGCATTACTGCGGCCCCCCCTCCCCCCCCCCCCCCCCTCCCCCTCCCCCTGTCATTGCCTTATTTTGATACACTAGAAATGATGCCCTAATGGCTGTGATTTGTTTGGGTGCTGGTGCTGGTGCTGTGCTCCGGGTGGAAAATAAGTTACACACGTAGCCCAACACACACACACACACACACACACACACACACACACACAGTGACTCACGGACCACCACCGTAGAGTCTTAATGTAGGGCAGGAGAGCCAAAGAGTACCAGGGCATCTTTCCAGCAGCACATCCTTCAAAACCTGTCGCTTCCGTGTACTGGATTTTCTGGCCTGGCGCCGATTTCCCTCTTCTTCTAGTGGATCACCGCCACCTCCGTCCGCCAGCTGGGTCCTCTTCAAACCCCTGCAGTTCTCCTCTCCTGGATGCATATTCAAAACTACCAGAGCCATTCTTTGGACCATTCTACGTTTAAGGGTGAAGGAGATAGTACGAATAGAGTTCACCGACCTCGGATTGTGTAGTAGATCGATGCCTCTTTCAAAGACTGCGCAAAGTCTGAATTATTTAATCTACTATGTTTGGAACATGGCCCTTTTCCTATTGACGTCGTGTGCCAAAGTTAGAAGATACCCACGTCCCATTGGAGGTGTTGCAATAGGGTCGGAATCATGGGAAAGACTGCGTGGAGACTGTAGAGCGTTTTGATATCGACGGTGCTGTAATTTGTAAGGAGCCATTGCCATCAAGCACCCTAATTATTACTATGTGGACGGAGATTCAAGCGGCAGTTTTGATTGTAATATTTCCGAAACAAGCTTATACGGTAGGAAAACGTAGAAAGGATCTCTATAGAGAGGCCTAGCAAATGTTTGCTACATTTAATACCAAATTAGGCAGCGTTTGGTCCTTGAAGCGCTGTAGAAGAGCGTAGAGAAAAGGTAAGCGGAACAAGGCTTCCTTCAATGGTAGGCGCCTTTTCCGCACATGAGAAAGGTGAACTATACTCCACATGGCTGCTCGTAACGCACTTCTACACGCACATTTCAGTAGCCAGCAACGGCATCCAGAGAATGCACTTTTCACTTGCACTGCCCATGAAGTCAACGACGCGGGCTCATTCCCAACTTTTCAAAAGGATATGAGATAAACATCACAAACTTGATACACCAAATCACACATGCAGTGGCGAATGAGATGCGAGGTCTACTGAAATATGCGAGACAGCCCACCCAAAGTCAGCGCAGTTTGAAAATAATTAGTGCTCCCTGCGAAATACTGTATGTGTCTCATCTCCAAAGCCAGCCAGGAAGAAGAAAAGTGCAGCTGGAACGACTTAAAATACAGCATCGTGTAACTTACATCTCCTTCGGCAGGTCCTCATCTCTCTGCCGTGAAACATGTGTCTTCTACCCAGAGCTTACTGTCGCTGTAGCTTTTGCGCAGAAAACTTTTGAACATGGCTTTCTCAGTTTCTTACTGATGTGAGCAGTCACATCTGCGCATTAAGCATTACTGTAACATTAAGGGGAGATGCGAAAATTGATTTAATATATTAAAATTCAAAACCCGAGCACTGTAAAAGTATTACTGTAAAAGAAAATCAAGTGTTCCTCTTCCTATGCTGCTGGTACAGTATGAGGCATGATTGGAAGGGTGGGTGCATTGTCTATGGAGGGCCAGCCCTCCTAGATCTATCCTCGTTGGGGAACATGATGGTGACTGCCTTTTGGTCTAGGCATCCTTTCTGATACTACACTATACGAAGGGTATGCGCTAACTGCATCCCAATCTTATTCGTTTGGGTAACCACTGGGGCGGAACAGGAGAATCTCCAAGGCTGTAATGAAGGGCATGTACCTTAAAAAATAAAAGGCGATCATATTTGATCCGATCCAGTCTAAACGCTCAAGTAAGCCACACCCTCATGAAAGTCCCCGGATCTTCCTGGTATAAAAACTTGTGTACCTCTTCGCGGAGGACGCTAGCTTCTTCACTTAGCACTCCCGACTTCACTGAAACTTCGATTCGTTGCCAAGCACTGCGAAATGGTTTGTTCTGCTGCATTCGTTCCGTTCTTCGTCACATTCTTTCTAATCGGGAGTTCCCATGCCCTGGACACTTCCGGTTCTGAGAAGATCGCGAGGCCTCTACCATGTCTCGCACTTGCACCTCATGAGAAATTCGTCTACAGAGCGGCATGTGATCCTTGTATCTATCTCCACAAGCTGGACGTCCCGGCACATGTGAGATCCATCATCCCCTGTTATGGTCATCTCCCGGAATGTTCACCGTGCTTTTCTCCCCATCAGTGTCTTACTAACAAATGCTGGGGCGGCAAGTGTGTCTATGACACGCCTGCTTCTATGGACAAGTGCTTCCCGAAGAAGAAGGAAGAGTGTGCACCGTGCAGGAGTAGGGACGAATGCTCAACGGACAAGTGCTGGGGACATGTTGGTAGCGATCTGAGGTGCGTCTACGATAACCCTATTTCTATGGCGAAGTGCTTCCCGAAGAGGCCCGAATGTGCCAGTTGCACCACCGCAACGCACTGTAGTACGCACAAGTGCTGGGGCGGAAAATGTGTTTACGACAACCCGGCATCAATGGAAAAGTGTTTCCCGAAGAAGAGTGAATGCGCCAGTTGCACCGCC